TGGAGCACTTGGAAGAGACTCTAGAAGACGATTCCTATAAGTTCGTCTGACATCCGGGTCTGCCAGTCTTTCAGTTGCCATGCGATTTGTTCCCACCTTAGGCGGCCCCGGAAACGTAGGGCGAAGCGACTCCGGGCGAGCGCGTGATCAGAGTCCACAAATGTGTTCCAAAACTACCGGCAGTCAGTTATGGATCCGCGCCATCGGTAACTGATAGCAATGTGGTCGATTTGAGTTTGTGGCCGGCCTGTTGTTGGAGGACACCAAGTGGCCAGACGACTTCGGCTATTTCGGAAGTTCGTACTGCATAAAAACAGCCTGCGATCGGCACACAGCTGAAGCAATCGTCCCCCATTGTCCGTACGTACCGAGTCCAGTCCATGTCGACCTCCCAATTGAGTCTCAGATGCACTAAGCCTGCCCACTTGCGCATTCATATCTCCGGCAACCACCACAATGTCTGAGCTTTTAGCTCGCCGCAGCAGCTGCGTGGTATCTAGGGAGTGCAACGACATGTTGAGTCCAGGCGCTTTGTTGAACAACTTCGGTCAGCGCCGCTGCGAAAACTCCACTCGTTCGGACGCGCTAAAGCTCCTTCCAAGAGATCTTTGGAATGTTGAAGTCACCTACCAGCAGGAGATGAGTGAAGTGGTAGCTGGAGCAGAGTTGCTCAAGGGTTCTTATGGGGAATTGATCATCTTCAGGGGGACTCGAGTGGCAACGGTTGACCACATCGAGGAGATAATCGGACCTGCGCAGCGGGATTTGGATCCACGGTGCATTGCAACAAGGTGCAGGAGTGGTATCAGAGAACACAGTCGGGCCGCATGTAAATACAAAGCAAACCCACCAACCTTCCCTCGTTTTGAGTCAGCTCGAAAAACAAAGTAACCGTCTATCGAGATCTCCGCGTTAGAGACATCTGGTGTGAGCCAGGTCTCTGTGAGTGCGATTATGGATGGCTGTTTAAAGAAAGCTGACTGTTTAATGTCGCAAAATTTGTTGAGGCAGTTTGTGGACAAGCATTTCAACACTGTCTCTGCTGCCTCCGAAGGTGAGGAGCCGGGAGCTGTGTGATCAGAGATGTTAGCAGTTATACGTTGGGTTTGAGTCCAAGGCTCCAAAGGGGCCTCTGGGGCATACTCGTCTGCTTCCTGTTTTGGTGGTTTCGGGGAATGCTTTTCATTTGCTGGGTTTTTTCCCCGCGGTTTCTGTAAAGTCTACTGGAGTTTGTGTCGTAACTTCCTTTACAGCTTTGACGTGTGCGGACCCTATACTATTTGATCATAGTTTATGTCGTTAATTTCAGCACCCGTGACTTAGTTAATTTGAACCATTTCTTTGGTGCGACACCTTCCACTGCTGCTCACCGAAATGGATCGCGGTTATCCTCCACTAACCAGTTCATGTGTGAAAAATCTAGTTGATAAACTTTTTGAGAAACGGAAGTTGGCTGCCACGGAAATTGAACGGTATTATTCTATGCTTGCTGAAGACAGTCTTGCAGTATCACGAAGGAGTCTTTCACAAGCGAAAAGCGTGGAGATGTGGTGAAGCTTATCGGCTACTTCACTCAGGACTTCATTACTTCTCATAATCCACACACGAGGAAGGGTGGACTTCTCGGCCTTGCTTCTGTTGTAATTGGGCTAAACCAGGTGAGTCGCGTTGGTCGGATGATGTCACTTTGCTCCTTTTTTTCGTAGAATGCTGCAATGTACTACAAATCTATTTTCCCACCTGTTCTGCGCACAATCCATGATAATGATCCGCGCGTCCGTTATTATGCTTGTGAAACATTATACAATGTGATGAAAATAACCCGAAAAGAGACTTTGGATCTGCTCAGTGAAGTTTTCGATGCAATTAGTCGGGTAAGTTTGCCACCTGTTTCAACATTTTGATAGCTTTCAAACTAATATTTCATGTATTTAATACTCGTGCATAGTGGCGAACTACCAAACCCGGAAGCACTGATCCAAAATTTCACATGATTCGCTAACAATTCACAGGGCTCAGTGCTAACATTTGGTTGGCGTGCGTCAGCCAGGAAACAATCGGACAGAAGTTAAACAGCTTGTCGATAGCTCTAATCAACATTCAGCCGAAACATAAATAGAAATATGACGGCAACGGATGGCCGATAATAACGGTTGTGTAATAACATCCATATTAGAGCCCATGACAACCATCGTCATCTACTATCCAGCGTGAAAATTTCAAATGTTTGAGAAGGTTCGGATAGGGAATAATATTTAGGGTTACTGTCGTTAACGTTGATGGTAGCTGGTGGGTGTGATGATAAGGTTCACCTTACAAGCTACTGTATTGCTCGGTGTAAGTGAATTTACAACCCCCCACGAAGACAACCACTTGGTTGTAATTGCCGCTGTCTGAAACCTGAGTAATACCATGTGTATTCAGTTGAATGGAGAATCATCATGTTGTATTGGCCTAGACGCAGGATGTATCCAACTTTCGAGTTGTTTTGGTACGTAGTCTCCTGAGAACTTCCTGGTTCGATGTTGAGGTCCTCTAGTTTTCAGCGGCTTTTGAGACTAAACGTGTGTCTATTTTGGATTCCTGCATAACATCGGCTGCCATCGAGCACCTCAGCCCCTTTCACAAGTGAGACATTCTGACGATCGATTGAATCTTCTGAGAAGTGCTGGAAATGGTCCGCAAACACACCAGTGCTCGACCCCTAACTGTTGAAGGGAGTGATGTTTCATTAACAAACTTAATGTTTGGGTCTGGGTTCACAATTCACTTTTCCTCCTTATAGCCCAAAACTTGGATTTCTGTTGTACGCATGGCATTATTCACTCAAATGAAGGTAATATCAAAAACCTAGAAAGTTTTCGTCGTGGCCCCGACAACACACGTATTGGAAGACCGGTTCACTGAACAACATTGAACACCAGAAGCTCGGCTGGCGACAAAGACCACAGGAATAATGGATTCCCAGTGTCTGTGACGTGTGCGTTTGTGTTGCATTAACCATTTTGACAGTAGCCGGTGGTTCCGACTACCTCTGGCATCGCTAAACAAGACTGTGTAGAAAAGGAACTGTCACAGAGTAAAGATTGTTTCTGTGCATGTTCAAGTCACTGTCCTATTCCTGATACAGAAGGTCTTTGTTTATACCACCTTTAAGATGTGCCGTTAGAAATCATGCTTCGAACGCCAATTTAACGAATTTTACGTCGTCACATTTATAGGACCACCGAGCTTCACCGGCAATGGTTAGTTGTAGAGACTCAGGATTCCGGCTAGTTTGTTTATATATTGACAAAAGATGACGGGAGAATGTCATTTCGAGGCGAAGAGCGTCCGTTTTTTTAGAGTAGTTCCTCAAGAGAAGTTTCGAGTTTTACATTCGGCGGTGTTTTTAAACAGACAAAGGCGATGAAGCGGATTTCGCTTGTCCCAGTTTACCACAATTCAAGAATTAACACGTTCCTTCTTGTGACATACAAGCAGAGCAACTCCGTTCAGCTTCGGCGAGTTTCAGTAGATCCATAGTGTCCAGGTGATCTGTCTAGAAGGTTACTAGGAACGCAAAGTCCTGTTGACGACTAAGAGTGCCTTGAGGTTTTATGGAAGGGATTCAAGGAAGCTATGTCCTCAGCTTTCATGAACTCTCCGTCCAAACCATTAGACTCGATGGAGTGAATACTAGATGTCGTCGAGATCAGCAGATCCTAACGCTGCCAGAAAAGATATAACTGTCATACTAGCAATGCGATGGTATACTTAGATCTGTCAGACACCGGATAACAAAGAACTCAAGAACGACAGAGAATGCTGATGAATGGCTCAGGGGATAGAAAGACTTCCACTGCAGGCTACAGTTGCACTGATTCAATCAACTGGACAAGAGCGGACGTGTCAGCGAAAAGGACGGTACAGCAATTCACTTGCGAAATTGGCGTCTTGAGTAATAGACTGAAAACTTGAAAGAGCAGTTTAGCTGAAACCACTTATTTGCAAACAAATTTGGTTTTGCGAGAGACTCACCTGGAACCCAGCCGAATCTCCCTTTTGTGATGTTTTCTGGCAAGTGGCAGTTTAACTGGCCTTCAACACAACCAACGTGATATCAGCAGCAGAAATCCAGTGTGGAATATCATTTCTCAAACACGATAGTTCGGTCTGCACAACACAGTTTTCAAAGAAGCACTCTTACGACCCTCCTGCGGAAGGTCTGGGACGACAGCAGGATACCAGTGGCATGAATCGGCCCGACTGCGTTCGCAGTCTTCAAAAACAGCACAAGAACGTCATGTGAAACCAATCCTGGCTCCGGCCTGGTAGTCTTGGCTTGGTAGTCTCTCTGGCTTTTTTTCTCAGACTAGTCCAGTTTCGAGAAGGAAAGGCTCCTGAGAACCAAGCTTGCTCCCCCCGAAGACGTATCGACCATATCTTTAGCTGGAGACAAGCTCCTGAACAGCGACTGTCTTTGACTCTGTCTATTTCTGGAAACTTTGTGAGTATTTGGTGATCCCTTACCTTGTGAGGGCATTGGATGAGGACTCCTGTGGGCGCGTACGAGTTTACAGCGAGTTTTCGCCCGAGTTTACCACGCACAGACAAGGCTATCCTCTCTCACTATTCTTATTCAACTTGGTTGTTGATGTATTACTTGAACTCTCTATTTTCCTCTGGAGTCACGGGGACGAAAATGTTCCTAGGGCTTTCGCTCAGGTCTGCAGGTGATATTGCTGTTCTTAGTCCAGATTCTTCAGAGATGCAAGCCATTTTAAATAACAAATAATTCTCTTCCACGGTTTACTATACCCTTCACAACTGCTCTGGTTTGACCTCAGCTAGTCTGTCGAGGGCAGACTATACACTTATTTCCATCGACCGCCACAACGTTGAACTAACCCGAGTCCTTCCTCATAGCCATAACTCTCGTCCCTTCACTTATTAGTTCAATATCCCGATTGCACCCATCCTCCTCGCACATATCCCGTCATCCTGTTCTCTGACGTTCTGGTCCTCACAATTCATGGTTCTCTGTACGCGAACACCCAGGAAGACCAGGGACTTGCTTCTTATGCGGAAATATTTGATTCGGGCCCCATTTCTTTCTAATTCCCAAATTTACTTCACCCTAGAGACCCTGTCCCAGCTGGACCTCCCTGCTTATCCTTTCTCGACTCAATACATTCTAAAATTGCGCACTTCGCGCATACCCTTCCATCAGCAATAACCTGAAAATACGCCATCACCACTGGAGCATTTATTATCACGGCAGCGTTTATCCAAACTGGCCTATTTTATTCCTCGCTTCATACCGTCCAGTCCTGAATCTAACCTGTATTCTTCCACACCTGCGAGGTTTCTTTCATTCTTAGACTAACCATGTCTATCTCCTCTTCCAACGACAACACCGGTTTTTGGGGTACCACCTTTTTGTTCAGTTTAGTTCATAAACCCCCCAACTATTTAAAAAAAAAACGAATCAAAGTTCAGCTCACTCTGCCGCGATATTCATGTCTTTTCATTGTTGTATTGCTTCATCACTTTAATAGGCGTTCTCTCTCTCCGTTACTCACTTTTGCGGAGTGAAAAAGCAACACGTTGCCAGCGTCATGTTCGCTGACAACGGTTTATTGCGCCCCCCCCCCCCCAACTATTTAAAAAAAAGGAATTAAAGTTCAGCTCACTCTGCCGCGATATTCATGTCTTTTCATTGTTGTATTGCTTCATCACTTTAATAGGCGTTCTCTCTCTCCGTTACTCACTTTTGCGGAGTGAAAAAGCAACACGTTGCCAGCGTCATGTTCGCTGACAACTTAAAATTTCATTACATACTTTTGGGATAAATGAGTGGTAGCCAAGGTGGCAGCTAGGGTAGGCTCGCCAGTCTGTGACTTGTCCACAGTCTGAAAGCCCAACCAGAAACCCTCAGACGTGTTGGCAGTTATCATCTCGGACGGGCTTCCTGGGACATGGCACAGAAATGGCTGTCGGTAGTCATGATTCGAACATACGGCTGTTGGCGTTCTTGCACTAAAGCCCTAGCTTTCAGTGCGTAAACGTCGAAAAGATGTCATTTCAGTGTCTCGGAAATACGCAGAATATCGCCTCCGATGTTCCCCTCCCTCTGACTGGCGTACAAACATGTAGCACTTGGAGTCAACACATCCGTGAAATATGGTTCGTCGCTCAGTAACCACACTTGTGGTCACACTTGTATCTTTGTAAATGGTTGATCATCTCCCTGTTATTTGATGAAATTTTCTTGCGTTGATGCATTTGGATGTTTGATTAATTTTACAGGGCGTATCAGACCCGGACTTGAGCGTACGCCAAGGCGCTGTCCAGTGTGACAGACTACTGAAGGAAATTGTTACCGAACCGGATTTTGTCAGCTACCCGGTGATTGTTTCACTTCTTCGAGAGCGAATCTACACGAACAACCCACACACGCGCCAGTTCATTGTCTCTTGGGTATGTACGCCTCCGTTTGCTATATCTTTTATCCTGCCTAGTTAGTTTCACGTCCTTTATGTCAATCACTTTCAGCCATTACACTCCGCCATACATGGGGATTCACCATGGGGAAAGAGACATCCTGAATCTTGGAAGACTAGGGGAGCTAGTATGGAATATCTGGAGAAGTTACCCCTTCCAACTGGAAGGACTACTATATTATATTGTTGAGCTGGATCAAATATGGATTTTCTTATGATCCGCTGTCTTCAGAATTTCGGGTGATTATTACAACCTGGCTTCGCTTTTACCTCTTGTACCATATTGAATTCCATGTGATTTTACTCCAGTAAAGTGTCTGTGTCAACACCGATGTTGCTGCCTGTTAGGATGATACTGAATTCCTCAAAAATTAACCCGCCACCCATAGGAATCATATGGATAGGTTGAGCTTAATCTGAACACGGGCAGTTTTCTGTTAGTTTCGAACTTTTCAATTGTGGTTTGGTAAGTTGTTTCCTCCTTCAGATATGGCACCTGTCAGGTTTGGTCATCACAGTTCGTTTTCGTCAGGTTTTCCACCGTTTTGAATGTGAATATGCTCAACGAATTCGCTAACATGGTTGCATTACTATAAATGCGTTTGTTTTATCCTAGACGTCCACTCTGCATGCGATACCTGGACTAAAAATTAGCACTTACCTTCCACAATTATTGGACGGATTGTTCCGAATTCTGGGAGACCCCAATCCGGATATTCGTCGCCAGTAAGTTCTGTTTGTATTTATGTTATGCATTATGACCTGTTTTGAAGTGTCATAGCCTCTGGGTTGCGGTCTCCTAAACTGGAGCCTGTGGTTCGAGGTCATCTCTGGTTTAATTGCTCATGTCTAGCCCTCGGAGATTAGTTAAACCTCGCACTCTCCATTTAATGATGATAACAGCGCCACATCCGAACGTTGGTGGCCTGTCTGGGGAGTTCTGTGTCAGTCCATATGTTTCTCTTTACACCAACTACTACCTACTAAGAATGGATAACCGAAATGAACTAATATGAAGAGCTGATACCGAAACGGAGCTGGTTTTTCCTTGGGTCAGGCAACTTTCAAAAGCATAAATTAGTTTCAGTACGTATGGTCAAATACGTTGTCCACTGGTTTCAGATTATTTTTAGGCCCTATCCATCGTTGACCGAAGGTTTTTGGGCGGCCTGTGACTTGTTTCAAATACTGTCATAATAACTTGCCAAAACGGTTTTGCAGCTATTCCCGATCCCAACTGGTTAGCTGTTTTATTATCGTTAATTTTTAAGGAGCTTGGTCACAGAGATAAAATGTGAATGCGAGCGATGAATGCGAAAGGGTTACAGGAGAATGTGAGACAAAAGAGAGAAACGTCTCATTCGAAGTCATGCCACCAACAGTTACAGTCAGATAAGATGAAACGGTTCGACTGAGCCTGCTGTCGCCCGATGTTTCCTGTCCCCACAAATGACCATCGTTTTCGTCTTTCGGGTGTTTATCTTCATTCCAGCTCTTCCCAACTCGACCGCAGCATCTCCAGGCTTACCTTTAAGGCGAACCTGATTTTTTGCACATATGACCCAGTCGTCAGAGAAAGCGAAGAAATCTACTAGGGTATCATGGAACTGGTATCCCAGTTGCGGAACCAACAATCCAAGAACCTCATCCATTGCCATGATGAACAATAATGAGGAGATTGGATCTTCTTGCCTCACACCTCTGTGGCAGTGCACCTCAGAACTTGGGAGAACTGCTACAGCATTCTCAGAGGACTGTGCGATGTATCGAACTAGAGGTAACAGTGCTTCAAACGGCTCGGCAGATCTGACGATTGTCATCAAACGCTTTCGAGATATCAACAAACGCCAAGCTTAGGTTAGAACCAGTCGCTGAAGAGTGACTAAGGGGGGCGCGTAGCAGCGATGTAGCTTCCAAACAGCCATCTCGATGTAGAAATGCAAACTGGAGTGATGGCAGTTGCAATCTTTCTACTCCAGTGATCAACAAGCACCGTATGAAAGCGACGGACACGAATGGAATACCCGGAGATCGGTCTCAGTTGATCCAGTGAGGTCGGGTTTGGGACCTTCGGAACAAGGGTAATATGGATACGACACAAATGTGGGGGACAACCTCCAGATGATAAGAGTAGGCTGAAATACCCAGCGAACATAGCAATAAACCGGCGGAATATCCTGGGCGTGAGCTTGTCCAGGCCTGGAGAAAAATGCCCATTAGATGGATCGTACGGACGACTTCCTCTCCTGTAATTGGCTCGATCTAGCTCCAGTCGGATGGTATTACTACGCGACTTGGCCGGCTATCCACGTGTTTCGGAGCTAAGAGGACCTGTTTCCAATACTGCTCGGCGTCGACAGGTAGGCTGCGGTAACCTTTGTATAAATCCTTCCATGACCCATCGAACACAGCAGACGCTGCATCTTTACGTCTTTGGCGGTATAGGGTCCGGATGGCGGCGCAGTTGGCTCGGCGGGTCTGCTTTCGGTTGACCGGCATCCGATGGCGTTTGTTCGGTCGCAAAGATGATCAACTTTTTTGGTACGAATCCACTTTAGGTGGTGCTCGAAATCTGCACTTCGTTTGGTATATACCTATTGTTTCCCTGCTGTGCAGTATTTCTTGCTGTTTCTTTATGGTGAGGTGGTCTGTTAACAACCAATAGACCTCACGCAGTGTTTGCATTGGTAAGAGTCGTCTCTTTTCCATGTTCACTAGTTTTGGAGTTTCGATAATATATGTATCGCCTTTTGTCTGGTGCCAGCCGTATGATGAACAGTGAAATTATTTTGAACGTTATGTTTCGAGAAAGATCCTCCAAATCTATGAGGCTGCTGTAATCTCATAGCATACTCATTCTCACACTGTTCCTCAACAAAGTTTTGCTTGTCAGCTATTAACTAGGTACCAAGGGTGCATTGGTTCCAGCTGCCGCAGTTTCTTCTACCGGAAAATGGAGGAGCCAGGGAGATGTAGCCTGGCGTTGGAAGAGATGACATGGTCAGCTAGTGTGTATTGTGTATTGCTCTGCAGAGGCTGAAGACTGAATATATGCGCACGAGCAGCACATCTGAGCCCGAGCGCATACAGGTCACATATAGCTCACATATAGCTCATTTGCTTCCCACAGTCGAGCTGTGCACTTTCAACTGGAATTCGGTCGGAAGTTTGCACCTCCACCTTGCTTGCCAAATTTTGTCTGTTTCACTTCCAGATGTGAACTATTGCTGGATGACTTACTGCGAGAAATCTTTGCAAACCCTACTCGAATTGCTTTCGACGCTATGATCAATACATTGATTGTGCATTGCCGACTGTCAGCGACAGGTAAGTGCCGTTGGCTTATTCGAAGAAAATCAAGCTCCTAAAAAGTTTCTTTGAACACGGATTGATCTGGCCTCTAGGAATCACGGATACCATGTTTATTTTGCGCACGTTGATCACCGCCGTAGGAAAAACCATTAGTAACTACACGACTAAAAGAAACATCTATGCGATTGATGCACGTTTGGGTGCTTTCAGGCTCCCGTTCACCGGTTGTGTTGTCCACCGTTTTTTGTGAAGATTCACTTGTAAGCCTAAACGCTCTGGTCGAACAATTCTTCGTGTCCTTCTTATGACCCTGACTTGCTGCATATTTGTGTGATCTTTGTACGATCTACGGTTCTTGTCACTTTCTGCACCATTTGCTTTTCATGGCTCGTTTTTCGCAAGATGATGTTGTATTGCACTTTAGGTCAAGTCCTTCCTTGTCGCTCAGGTCTTCTGTTCGGTTTTAACTTCATTCCACTTCCAGCTTTTGCCATGAACGAGGGAGGCCTTCGTTCCGGTTCCCCACCAGAGTCTTCGACGAACAACGTCTCTGCTGCAGCTGCTATCGTAATGGATACTTCGAACCAAAGCGCCTGTTTGATGCAGAATGCCTCAAACTCTGGAACTGCAAACGGTCCTCTCAGCAGTGGGGGTGAACAGCTGCAACAACGGACAGCGCTGACCTGGATTCGAGCTTTTGTAGAGTTAGACGCAGTACATCTGCTTCCCTACGCATCTGGTATTGTTGGGGCTGTATTGCCATGTTTCTTGCTGTACAACACTGCGGAAACTGTCCGAGATCGTCGAGGTGAATATCCTTCTCTATTTTTGTTAGCGTCTGAACTGCGTTGTCCTTCTTTAAGTGCTTTCAAGATTCGTGTGCCCTATTACAGACAGTAAACCAGTGATATCTCCGGATATTTGTCGCGTGGCTTCCTCAACCAGCGCTTAAGATGCTCATCATTTCGCTGCGGTCTGCTTGAATCATTTTGAAACTAGTTCCGGTCAATCTTGATATCTTCATTGGACATCGTGAAGCGGCATTCACGATTGCTGTCACCACCTTCGATTCGCAAATGAATGCATCTCCGCCGTCCAAATAGTGCATGGGAAGAGTCGAGTCTGGACTGTTATCGGGTACACCTTTTGGTCAACTCGCCCTTAGGTTCGAGGATAGGATATTGTTTTCCCCTTTACCTTATATAAGCGCTCCTCCCACCCACTAATTCACGTTTCGATGCAGGTATGCTGAGTTTCGCACCGATCATTTTTGTTTTAAAGTGCGTGAAAATTTACTGAATGGGCCTGATGAACTGGTGGGATAGTCTCATAAGCCATCCACTCATCACACTACCCTTAGGTATAGTGACTTGTTTTTACTCGCTTTAGGAAATCGAGTCAAGTTCTCGTCTGCCAATGTTAGTACTGTTTTGCTTCCCAGGACCCTAACTACGAAGAGTCTAGGCACTCTCCCATCCAGTGGTTTCACATCCAGTCTATTTTCAGGAACGTTCTGCTAGACCAAAGAGGTTGCCTGTCTCCTTTGTTTTGGCACGCATTCTTCCCCATTGGAAATTCTGTTCGCTGTCGTTCTTTCTGGTACCATTCTGTTGTAGTCAGGTCTTTGAGACACATCTCCAGCTGCAGTAAAGTCCCAAGAGTAATCCTGGTTAAGTACGTACTCAGCAGACAGATCAGAGCTTATTCAAAATCCACACTCAGTAAATCCCTATGGGTATCCCTAACCCTTTACGTAACACTATCCCAAGCTGCGTGCGTCTTCCGTTTAAATCATTGCCAGTCATTTGCCGCAGTCGCGTAATCCTCCTCCACTTGGCCCGATATCTGAAGAATCATATTCCATTGCACGATTGTTTCGAACAAATTATCCTTACCTGACCTGATTCCCAGTGCTGACAGTTTTTTTCGGTATTAATTCAGCCAATTCGTTGAACCCGCTCCAAGTGTGTAGGCTGAATGCTGCAAACCACTCCCCACTGATTTTCTTAAAATCTTCAGCTTGACTTAAATTAGGGACTGGAGACATCGGGGCGCAGCATGAACTCCCCTCCGAGCTAATTGGTGCTGGGTGCAATAGCGGTTGCTACACTAGCTTTTATTGGTAGGCTTAGTTCACACCATTTACCCATAATTCTAAAAAATACTGTGATTTCATTGATGACATGGTTCGTCAACATCATTTCATTTCATTGGTGCCTAAGGCGTGATCAATGTTGTTTGTTCAACAGCCTGTATTCTTCCAACTGGCTACTTGGAAAGTAGCAGTTTACCGAAGATCCGTATCTGGTTCCTTTCGCAGCTGTTTGAATTAAGGATTTATTAGATTTTAAGCAGCAATTCCAATTGGAAAGTGTGTGAAGTGCATATGGTCACATTGCTCGAGTGTCTAAAAGCGTCACTAGGAGATCTGAATAGACTTAACTGGGAGTCACAATGCCCCAGAATTGATGGATGATGGACTGAATGGATGAGAGGGTCTAGAGAAACACCTCACCATCACGGACGACGTATGAGTTGCCTTAGGTGGACAGTGGCGGGTCACATGTGAGATACTAGGGCGTATGAGCAGAAAGTCGCCTACGGGCAACTAAGCGAAAATTGCATACAGACGAAGTATTGATACAGCCAGCTCACCCAGTTCACCCACTGTTGAGCATCTATTTTCGGTGAAGACAAACCGACCCCACGCGTTTTTCACTACTCAAAGGTGAATTTCTCGTATGAGCCTGGCTTTTCTAACCCTTTGTTGGTTAACAGTCAGAAGTGGTGGGTCGTTTGACGTATCTTGGGTCCCATGTAGGCATCAGTTCAAAGATAACATCTGGAAGTATTAAAGTGGAGACCGCCTTTTCCAGTTTTCGCCATGTCTGAAGACAGCATGACTGGCCATTTTAAGCGTACTGCTCATCAGTCAGATGTACCTTTTTAAATGAACTTGAAAAGTGGCCACATGTACGGAGAATCTGCAATGACTGTCTTTTTTTACCATTATTGCCTTCTCATCATTCTCCACGCTTACTGGTAACAGCTCGTTAGCAGTCCACAGGTGTGGTGCCACGTTGTACATTGCAACTCAGAGTGAGATCTGTACCTTGTGATTCAGTCAGCTTTATTGATTCGACCACTTTGGGATTGACAATTCGACTACCCAACCTTACTCTCCCACCCCCTCTTTTATTGTTATCCGTCACCTAGTTCGGGTTTATTCAGTCGCAGAGCACGTGAAGCTTACTGGGATATGAAAGTAAAGCTCTCGTATTTTCGATTCATATCGGTGTGTTCCCACGGGTTTTACCTTGTTTGTTGGAGCATGTGATTCAATCCCTATCCGACCACGAGTAGACGTTGATGGCGTAGATGGGCTAAGTTATATCCCAGTGTTATCGTTTGAGGTTCTCGACCGAAATCGGTCTTACATATCGTGTAACATTGAATAAGATCTGTCTACGAGTAATGTTGTTTGTAAGAAAATGGAGTAATTCGTCGACATTAACCGATTCAGTATGGCAGGTTCATGAAAAGGATAGAAATCAGTGCAGCACAAAATGGCTGGAGAGGATCTGTCTACCATTGATATACTTAAATGTTACTTGGTCGCTTATGGGTAGTTGCAATAACGCTCAGGGGAGCGAAGTCATAAACCGTTATTGTTCCGCCACAACACTTTCGGATCATCGACGCAGCAGAAATTCATTGCAGTGAAGGGTGTTATGAAATCGAAACAGTATTTTTTGGCTTTGTGGAGGACAGTGGGAGCATTGAACAATTGTGTAGCGATTTTCTGAAGGCCACGAATGCAGCAATCTGAAGCACATCCATCCAACCACAAGGCTTGCTGAAAAGAGTTTACACTTTGGTAAATTAAATAAGGATTGTTCCCACCGTAGTAAAAAGTTGTACCCGGTTACGCCGTGAGAATGCCTTTGAATAATTTACAATGATCTTTGGAACGTCGCGTCCACCTACCGTTCCTTTTTTAAACAGAAAGGCGACCATTGTGGATGATAGTCTTAACCGGATGTGCTACATTTGTTTAGTAGGTCAATTGCTGTCTTTCTACATGACAACCGCACTTTTCACACAATTCACTGCTTAGTAAACATGAACGATGACAGTGTCAAAACGCCTGTCATGAGATATCCGCAGAGAATCGTTTGTAACTTCCCACCAGAGTCACCTTCGGTATCAGCCACAAAATATGAATTTCATGCATTACAACTTTCTGTAAGTTGCCACAAGAAAAATCGAGTACTTTCTGCGCAGAATCAAGTCGCGATACGCTACAGGTGTGGTATAATTTTACTTTCCCCGTTTATTGCTGTTCCACAGTTTTAATCGCTGTTCGTCCTAAACTCTCGATCCCACTCCTTGGTCACCTTGGAACCTACTTAGATGTAGACTTATCCCATTCCTGGTCAGAGATAATCCGTGATTCTTCATTTAGTCTCATCTCTTATCCACACTCCATTCATATGCATTTGACCCTGGATCTTTGTACTCTTTTTGAAATTGAATTCATGGCCGCTATTGTTGTCCGTGTGCAGGTGGATTAGGTTGCCGTTTCATCTCTAGTTCTCCTGCCAATGTTTTTACCTACTCTTGTTATGTAACACGGAGCAAATCCGGGGTAACCAAATTAAGGTTGTGAACGAAGTGTTCTGTGACGGGTATCCTGTCCAATATCATCCCTGGACAAGCTGTTAGTGGCTTTTAACTGGTTCAGTCGCGTATGTGCGTCTTTAAGGGATTACCTGCTTGAACAGTTGTGGTCGATACGTGTTGTGCGTGCTCAATCCGAAATCGGTCTTACATATCGTGTAACATTGAATAAGATCTGTCTACGAGTAATGTTGTTTGTAAGAAAATAGGATGATTCGTCGACATTAACCGATTCAGTATGGCAGGTTCATGAAAAGGATAGAAATCAGTGCAGCACAAAATGGCTGGAGAGGATCTGTCTACCATTGATATACTTAAATGTTACTTGGTCGCTTATGGGTAGTTGCAATAACGCTCAGGGGAGCGAAGTCATAAACCGTTATTGTTCCGCCACAACACTTTCGGATCATCGACGCAGCAGAAATTCATTGCAGTGAAGGGTGTTATGAAATCGAAACAGTATTTTTTGGCTTTGTGGAGGACAGTGGGAGCATTGAACAATTGTGTAGCGATTTTCTGAAGGCCACGAATGCAGCAATCTGAAGCACATCCATCCAACCACAAGGCTTGCTGAAAAGAGTTTACACTTTGGTAAATTAAATAAGGATTGTTCCCACCGTAGTAAAAAGTTGTACCCGGTTACGCCGTGAGAATGCCTTTGAATAATTTACAATGATCTTTGGAACGTCGCGTCCACCTACCGTTCCTTTTTTAAACAGAAAGGCGACCATTGTGGATGATAGTCTTAACCGGATGTGCTACATTTGTTTAGTAGGTCAATTGCTGTCTTTCTACATGACAACCGCACTTTTCACACAATTCACTGCTTAGTAAACATGAACGATGACAGTGTCAAAACGCCTGTCATGAGATATCCGCAGAGAATCGTTTGTAACTTCCCACCAGAGTCACCTTCGGTATCAGCCACAAAATATGAATTTCATGCATTACAACTTTCTGTAAGTTGCCACAAGAAAAATCGAGTACTTTCTGCGCAGAATCAAGTCGCGATACGCTACAGGTGTGGTATAATTTTACTTTCCCCGTTTATTGCTGTTCCACAGTTTTAATCGCTGTTCGTCCTAAACTCTCGATCCCACTCCTTGGTCACCTTGGAACCTACTTAGATGTAGACTTATCCCATTCCTGGTCAGAGATAATCCGTGATTCTTCATTTAGTCTCATCTCTTATCCACACTCCATTCATATGCATTTGACCCTGGATCTTTGTACTCTTTTTGAAATTGAATTCATGGCCGCTATTGTTGTCCGTGTGCAGGTGGATTAGGTTGCCGTTTCATCTCTAGTTCTCCTGCCAATGTTTTTACCTACTCTTGTTATGTAACACGGAGCAAATCCGGGGTAACCAAATTAAGGTTGTGAACGAAGTGTTCTGTGACGGGTATCCTGTCCAATATCATCCCTGGACAAGCTGTTAGTGGCTTCTAACTGGTTCAGTCGCGTATGTGCGTCTTTAAGGGATTACCTGCTTGAACAGTTGTGGTCGATACGTGTTGTGCGTGCTCAATAAGTACGCCTGACGGGTCACAGTCACAATAATCACAGGCATATTGGCCGACTTAGTGACAGTTGTCAGGAGATGTTTCGAGTTATGAGTCTTACAACTAGGTAGCTTCCTCTGCTATGTAACCTGTATGTAGTGGCTAGACCATTTGCAATGCTTCTGAGACCCTTTGTGTGGCGACTACAATCTGAATGCATCCTTGTGTCCGTGCCCGCTAATCCCTATGTATGGGTCACCCTACCCTTTGGTAAGCTCTGTAGTAGTGGGTTTTTAGGGTTGTAATAGGAGGTAGTACTTTACCACAAACCGTCTCATTCATCAACACTCAAGTCTTTCTAATCCATCATCGCATCAGTTTTGAGGTGTATTTTGGCGTGAAGGAGGTTAAGCATCCTCAGATTATAGGTATGAATGTACTCAGTTTACTGTCTAGAATATCTTGGTCATCCCTTCGGTAACCATAGGGACTCTCGAGACGGCAGTCCGCATCAATGAAACACTGATGAATTTTGTCAACACTTTCAAACCAAATAACGTCAATGAGACTTCAACTCCGATTGAAGGGCGACGACTGGAGAAAAAGGAACCCAGTTTTGTCAAGTAAGTTGTGCTGCTTACATGCCTTTCCTGTCGTCTGAATTTATCATGCAACGATGTTTTGGACGTATTTCAACTTCAGTCATTAGTAAGAAGTTCAGAGAGGTGAAGCTCCCTACATTCAGTGAGAAAGAGGCCATTAGTATTACTATGTAGTATATTCTCTTCTCCACCCTTCCTCCATGTGACCGTTATTATAGCAGCGGCTGACTGCAAAGGTTTTATCATGATGGTGACTGTTACCTATGACACATTTCGGGTGCTTCTAGAAATTTTTCCGTTGCTTTAGTAGTACTTCCAATCTGCAAGCTAAGGTAGTTTATGCTAATAAGCTGAGAAGGACCTTGCTGCTATTTGATCCGTGTGTAAAGTAATCAGCGGGGGATGCGAATTCGCTACCCTCCGGGTAGTAGCTGCACATGAATAGCCGATCAGCATGTTGTTCTCAGCCTGTTGTTCCTGCGAATGTCTTGAGTATCAGCTGGTACAACCACCAACCCATCGCTACGCACCACCAAGTTCCACAACAACTCACTGATGATGTCACTTCGATTGGTGATGAAACGTTTGCAATCAAATTGTCCTACTCAGTGAACAAACCAACGACCATCTACGCTACCTGAGCTACCAACATTTACCTCTATAGGAAAACTGGCTTTATCGTTGCCACGAGTTTTCATATGCAAGACAACATTTTTTGCTCGATCCTTGGACGATCTCATCGGAGTCATCTGTCTGGTGGTGGAAATACGGAGGCCTGCGACAAACTTGAGGGTTCTACGATGTCAACAACCTTCCCATTTCAATATCCGGCGTTTCTTTACCTCTGCATGTATTTCGATTCAGCCGTCGCACTTTCTTGAACCGTCTAGACGATGCAGTAAATATTTGTACAACTGTAGTTAATTGCATTAAAAATGATCTGGCAGGTTATCTTCCAATTCGAAATGTAATTACCGCTGTCAATGGCATTGTAGCTATTCATAATGTATTAGGTTGAATTCACACGACGCAGAAAAAAACAACGGTTGAAAAATAACTTTCAAATAGTACCCCGTGATGCACTTTATCTCGAGTTTCATGCGCACCCTCGTGACCCAGCTTTCGACCGGCTTCGGCCTCAAATCAGAATCAACAGCTTCAACCATTTCAAAATGCACTTTGATGTTTGTTTTGCACCTTTCTTGAACACTATGTCAGTGCATTGTGTTATCACAAATAACAATAATTCATGTGCATAAATAAAGCCACTTAGCTCCACACACCCAAGATGGCGAGGTGTCTGAATGGTTAGAGCGCGAACGTACTGATCGGAAGGTCCTTGATTCGAACCCGACCTTTGAATTTCGACTCCTGTCTGGACGTAGGCAACCTGGCAATACGCCAGCCCTCGTGTATCCTTCGGGAGGCATGACAACTAGAGGCCGAAAGGGTGTTATAGCTGAGCCATTATTTCATTGCGCACCCGAAACTCCGGTAACCAATCGTTGACCCAGATTTCAACTCTGCGCCATCGTTTCAGCTCCATTTTAATGAACCTCATGCTTCTTACTGCATTGCTGCGTCATAAAGACTACAGAGTGCTAGGCACTAAAACGTTTTCGTTCGAAGACGATCCGTAATATTTGGCCCACTGGTATCTCGAAATGTGCCGAGTATCCCGGTGAACTGTTGAAAACCAGCTGATTTAGTGCTCACCTCCAGAGCTACTCCTCTTACAGTCAAAGAATCTTTGGTATCGAATTTCGCTGATCTGACAGACTGTTGTTGTGCTGAACGACTGATTCCACAGCCTTTGTAGCAACCGGATTCCCGCACATTCCTCCTTCACAAGGACCACATTAACCGAATCACTTTGTGGTCCTTTTGGTTTGTCCTCTTTAAGAATTTTATTGGGTGATCGGAAGGATGATACCTACAGACAAGACCAGACCCAAAGCTGTCATCTTGTCGTGGTAGTCGGGCTTCAGTGCTGCAACGATCCGGTGGGTTATACTGGCTGGAACTCAGTTCCTAAAGGTTTGACCATGCCAGGAAGGCCAACGGGGAGTGGCCCGACGAAGAACAGCAAGTCCCGTACCGCAAGTAATCATATTACGAGGTGGTCTGAAGGTAAAGTCATACAGTCCTCTGCGATAGGAGTGTATAAGGGCGTATCCCCCAGGCATCCAGTATGTCCATATTCATGGGAGAGGCGATGATGTTTTCTCCCGAGGATGGATGGGTTAGAAAACATCGGCCCCAAAAACCGCACACTCCGATCGCCTAAGAGTTGACTGTGACCGCCGGCACATTGTTCCATACAGCCGAACTACTTTCAAACTCAGTGTCTGGTGCTGCTAGAAGCGCTTCTGCTGTGCAAAGCTGAATTAGGAGTGAAACAGTAATCTGTAACTCCCTGTTCCTCATGCCATGCCGAACCCTGCAGCCAGGTGTGTCCATTGCGTCCGGGAATAGTTCCTCCAGAAAGTCCTAACAACCGCTGTCTCGCAGTCCAGACTCTTGAGTCAGAGGCTAGGGACAGGGTCCCCGAACAAAACCCTACATCTTCATGAAGGAAACTACTCACAAGGTTGCTGAAAGCCCTTCGACAGCCCACGACCGCTTTCGCCCTTCTTGGAGCTCATCAGGTAGGTGCAGTCCCCGAAGTTCAATCAACCTTATACTCTACTTGGACCCAAATTGGACTGTTTTCGGGAAATACACTCATTTGCAAATCAATTCGGTTTTCACAAGAGACTCAACTGAATCCCTCGTCTATGATGTTGCACGCTCAGTAGTAGAACATCATAAACGAGAGATTCAGTGGAGTCTCTCGTGAAAACTAAATTGACTTGCAAATGAGTGTAAAACCCTACATCCTCCCACTGCATTGTGCTTCCTACTTTCGAGTCAAAGGCCCAAGGTGGGATACCATCCGAACCCATCCTACAATACAGTGCAACCAACCCATCTGCCAATCCCCTAGCCCAGAAAAATAAACCTAAATAATCAACTACTAACCTCAAAAGGTTTGATCCACGTCGTAGCCTTTAATGTCCCTACTCTATGTTAAATTGGGCAACAGGCATCCGTTGCTGAAACCTCACTTTCCCTATCGATGTATGTTGTGTCTTCTAAACACGCATACAAGACTCCACTTCAGTGGTGCACCTCAAGCCGCTTAGAACGAGCCCAAATGTTCCACATTTCATTTTTCAGGCATCCAGTGATCCTGACGCAATTGCTCGTAATTTTTACGGTGTGAGAGTTGCACTCAGCTCCAAGGCTGAAAGCGCCTTACTGGACTGAATCCCAGTTAGCAGTCGCCTATGCGCTGTGTAGTTGTCTGGCTCAGTTAGGATTAACGCAGTTCGATGCATTAAACGGTGTTTTTTATCGTATCGGCATACGCCCCAACAGATAGCAGTTCTGAGACTGAGGAAGACAAGTTTTATCAAGATCTCTCACGACTGCTTCGGTCAGCAACAAGGACGGATATAGTAATCCGTAATCCGGGTGAAAGTCCGGAAGAAACTCAGTCGGGTGGTCGATTTGTAGTCGATGCTGAGCGTGCGGATAGTGGAGAGCGGCTTCTTCAGTTGTGTGCAGATCATCCTCTGTAACTTGGCCAGTACGACTTCCAACACAAATGCTTACACCGAGTTACTTGGAGGCTACCTACAAGAAGACAGCCATGGACCCACCTGGATCATGGGGCTATCAGTTACCGATAAAGGACCCTCAGTTAAGGATTGCCGTTACTTCTGGGGTACGCAACTTGACTCTGATCATGCCATCGTTCGGAACCGCTTAGTACTTCGCTTTCCGACAGCACTACGCGTGCAGAGAGAGCAGCCCCGTTCATCAACTTCAGTAGCTGACGAACATCGAGCTGATCTGGCTACAAAGCCACAGGAAACGCACATATCATGAGCATCATCAAGGACAGCAACATCAGTGTCGACACTGACGCTTCACTTCCGTCTTGTGGACGACGAAGATTGCTCGGAGGATGAATGGAGGCGAGTTAAAAAAGCATTGCTCTCAGCTTTCAGAAGTGTTTGTCCAGCCCATTTGACTCGACTCAATGAACAGTGGATATCTTCGAGATCAGGTCTTATTGCTGTCAGAAAGGCCATACCAGCAACTAGCGGCTGTGATGGCGGACTCAGACCCCTCAAACACCGGATACTCACGAACTTGAAGAATGACAAAGAAGACGGAGGGATTTCGAAGGTCCAGGAGATGGAGAAGGCTTTCGCTGCAGGCAGCAGCCGTGCCCTGTTTCACCTGATTCAACCAACGCATCAAAAGAAGGCAGCTGTTGGTGAGACAATATGCGAACAAGACGGAACAGAAGTTCGCTCCCTCAATCGCCTTCTTGAGAGGTGAGCTGAGCAATTAGAAGAACAGTTCACCTGGTCTCCTTCAACACAACCGCTGGAAGAACTCAACATATCCGAATGGAACACTGACACCAACTCACCATCAGCAATCGAAATCCAGCGTGAGATTTCAATCCTGAAGGGGAACAAGGCAACCAGCCCAGATGGCCTACACCCCGCGCTCTTCAAAAATAGTGGCGAGGTCTGGTGAACACCTTGACAACCTAACTACAGAGTATTTGGAACCAAAATAGAATACCAGCCGGATGGAGCTTCTTGACCGCCATCCCAGTTTTCAAGGACGGTGCAAGAACGTCATGTGGAAACAATCGTGGTATCAGCCTGGTATCCGTCGCATCTAAGGCGCTCTCTGGCATTATTTTACGCAGGTTAATGGATTATCGCGAGAGACAGATTCATGAAAATCTAGGTGGGTTTCGCCCTGGTCGGGGGTGCGCCGGCCATACGTTTACCTTCAAACAAATTCTTTAACAGCGCCATTCCACGTTGGTCGTTTTTCTGGATTTGAAAGCTGCTTTCGAGTCTGTTGATCGTCAGCTAATTTGTAAGTGTTGGCCGATTTCAGGCATCCAGTGATCCTGACGCAATTGCTCGTAATTTTTACGGTGTGAGAGTTGCACTCAGCTCCAAGGCTGAAAGCGCCTTACTGGACTGAATCCCAGTTAGCAGTCGCCTATGCGCTGTGTAGTTGTCTGGCTCAGTTAGGATTAACGCAGTTCGATGCATTAAACGGTGTTTTTTATCGTATCGGCATACGCCCCAACAGATAGCAGTTCTGAGACTGAGGAAGACAAGTTTTATCAAGATCTCTCACGACTGCTTCGGTCAGCAACAAGGACGGATATAGTAATCCGTAATCCGGGTGAAAGTCCGGAAGAAACTCAGTCGGGTGGTCGATTTGTAGTCGATGCTGAGCGTGCGGATAGTGGAGAGCGGCTTCTTCAGTTGTGTGCAGATCATCCTCTGTAACTGGCCAGTACGGACTTCCAACACAAATGCTTACACCGAGTTACTTGGAGGCTACCTACAAGAAGACAGCCATGGACCCACCTGGATCATGGGGCTATCAGTTACCGATAAAGGACCCTCAGTTAAGGATTGCCGTTACTTCTGGGGTACGCAACTTGACTCTGATCATGCCATCGTTCGGAACCGCTTAGTACTTCGCTTTCCGACAGCACTACGCGTGCAGAGAGAGCAGCCCCGTTCATCAACTTCAGTAGCTGACGAACATCGAGCTGATCTGGCTACAAAGCCACAGGAAACGCACATATCATGAGCATCATCAAGGACAGCAACATCAGTGTCGACACTGACGCTTCACTTCCGTCTTGTGGACGACGAAGATTGCTCGGAGGATGAATGGAGGCGAGTTAAAAAAGCAATGCTCTCAGCTTTCAGAAGTGTTTGTCCAGCCCATTTGACTCGACTCAATGAACAGTGGATATCTTCGAGATCAGGTCTTATTGCTGTCAGAAAGGCCATACCAGCAACTAGCGGCTGTGATGGCGGACTCAGACCCCTCAAACACCGGATACTCACGAACTTGAAGAATGACAAAGAAGACGGAGGGATTTCGAAGGTCCAGGAGATGGAGAAGGCTTTCGCTGCAGGCAGCAGCCGTGCCCTGTTTCACCTGATTCAACCAACGCATCAAAAGAAGGCAGCTGTTGGTGAGACAATATGCGAACAAGACGGAACAGAAGTTCGCTCCCTCAATCGCCTTCTTGAGAGGTGAGCTGAGCAATTAGAAGAACAGTTCACCTGGTCTCCTTCAACACAACCGCTGGAAGAACTCAACATATCCGAATGGAACACTGACACCAACTCACCATCAGCAATCGAAATCCAGCGTGAGATTTCAATCCTGAAGGGGAACAAGGCAACCAGCCCAGATGGCCTACACCCCGCGCTCTTCAAAAATAGTGGCGAGGTCTGGTGAACACCTTGACAACCTAACTACAGAGTATTTGGAACCAAAATAGAATACCAGCCGGATGGAGCTTCTTGACCGCCATCCCAGTTTTCAAGGACGGTGCAAGAACGTCATGTGGAAACAATCGTGGTATCAGCCTGGTATCCGTCGCATCTAAGGCGCTCTCTGGCATTATTTTACGCAGGTTAATGGATTATCGCGAGAGACAGATTCATGAAAATCTAGGTGGGTTTCGCCCTGGTCGGGGGTGCGCCGGCCATACGTTTACCTTCAAACAAATTCTTTAACAGCGCCATTCCACGTTGGTCGTTTTTCTGGATTTGAAAGCTGCTTTCGAGTCTGTTGATCGTCAGCTAATTTGTAAGTGTTGGCCGATCAAAGGTGTTCCTTCCAAATTCCTATCCCGCATGAGGGCACTGTATGCGAACTCCTGTCGGCGCGTACGAGTATACGGGAAGCTCTCGCCTGAGTTCACCACGTGCAGTGGTGTAAGACAAAGCTGTCCTCTTTCCGCTCCAACTTTGTTATTGATATGCTTATTGGAATTTCTCTGCCTGCCTCTGAAACCTTGGGAGTCGAGGTGCTCCCGGGACGTTCCCTCACAGACATTGAGTGTGCAACCCATATTGCTCTCCTTGGTTCAAATCTTTCCCAAGTGCAGAGGATTTTAAATAACGTAAATAAATCTGCCGCACGGTTTGGCGTGCACTTCATGCCTGCAAGGTGGAAAGTGCTACCACAAGACTGGATGGGATCAATGCCACACCTCATGCTTGATCGACGTTGTAAATAAATTTGTTTACCTGGGCAGTTGTATAAGTCCCCGTGGACTGGCTAGAGATGAGATTATTTCTCGAATCGGAAAGGCCACTGCGGCTTCCGCCAACCGCCGACAGCTATGGCGCCGACGCGACGTCAGTTTGTTTGTCAAGGGCAGAGCTTACACCGCGGCGGTGCGATCCCTACTGCTTTATGGATCAGAAGCGCGGCCCCATGCGCAGAGGATATACAGAAGATGTCAGTGTTTGATCATCGGTGTCTCCGAAGCATTGGTCAGGTTTGGTGAGAAGATCGGATTAACAATGCTGAGATACGCCAGGTGGTTTTAGGAGGAAGGCGCTCTCCTGCGACAGATGAAGTACTCACGCTTCATTAGGTACGCTCCGCAGTGAAGCATCGGTGTTGAACACTGATGTCATGCTGTCGATGTGTGTGTGTGTGTGATGTTACGTGCGCTCCGCAAGCCAGAAGACCGCCTGCCTTGCAGAGCTCTTTTTGCTCAGCCCTGTGCTGAGTGAAAGCGATCGAGAGGTGGACAATGTATGAACTGGTAAGAAAGTGCGAAAACTAACCAGTAAACTTAGTCGGGTCGGCTACTGCCGGCTCCCTGGATGGGGACCCCGGGACTCAAAACACCAATGGTTATCGGATTTAGCAGAAATGGTCCAATCGCACAGTCAGTGTCGATCGCACCTCAAAGCTTTCGCCTTCAATGCGTAGCTACCCAATTTCAGAACAAATTGAACGTTCCTTCGCCTCCAAGGCTTGGTTGTGCGTTCCAATTTCCCGTTTTCCGGTGATCCAAACCGAACCAATGTGCCTGCGGCATATGGTTTTGATAAATTGATGTGCATTGTGCAAACAAGTGTGACAAAAAAACTAAACCTATGAACCTTACAGGAATTACCTTGTGCGTTTGACTTTGTGTCACCGTGTCACCCTCACCCAACAAGCCATCCTCAAATAGCGTTGCGACTGTACAGGTGACCGAATTCCATACAGAAGATTCCACAGAAGATCCGTTTACGCAGAGGTGACGCGTACACATTGTTTCAAAGACAATGTTAAGTTAGTGGACCGTACTTGATGAAGCACGTGGTACGCCTAAGGAGTAACGTGGTGATATCGTTTGGGATGGCAAAGCGCGTTCATTTTCGAATACACTCGTTAGCAAAGTAAATTGTTGTGAAACACAAATGAGTCCTTCGTTTATGATATACTTAACCGTTATCGTCCAGTTTCCTGGTTGTGGTACTGTTTTATAGATTGTTGCGTAAGTCTGTTGACGCCATGGCTCGCGGTAACGTCACCCTCGGTTTTTCGCACCTGTATACCTGATCGGGTGTTTTTTTATTGTTTCCATCTCTGTGACACTGTCCCCTTTATATTCGTTTTCCATCACCATTCGTTCCGATGCACCTTATCCTGGCGAAATGTTTACTGTAGCAGTAAAGCTTGTGAGACTGATCTTACTGCCGAGTTTTGTGTGCTGGTAGCAAATAGGAGGTTCATTTGCCGGTCGTTATTAGATGAATAAGCCGATAGTACTTATTGTTCTCATCCTATCCACTGGGGCCTGTTCCTTGAATCTAAGCTGTCTAACATTATGCGCAAGTGAATTAGATGTGCGACATCCGATTACGGGCTGATCGTCTGACGCTGTCTTGTGGTTAACACGATAAATTAACAATCACTAGCGGTATGCTGGGAGCTGCATCAGTTTTATTAATTAGTTGCTGGGAGACTTGACTTTGCCCGGATATTCTAGTGCTGCACCCTAGTTGCATCTAGGCGAACAGAATCAGACGATTACCGTTTATCAAATATAGCTGCCTAATTTGCACTAAATACCGACAAAATCAGCATTCATTCAAACGCGTTAATGGAGAGGTGGTTTTCGAAAATTCGATCGGCATGATGCAACAAGTCTGTGAAAAGCCTTTCCAAACCATCCAATCCTCCACGATAATAAGTTTAAAGTCAACGTCAACTGCCGACCTCATACATTTCCAGGCTGACACTAAGTTCTAGCTGTCATGGGATTTAAGAAGTGACATGGTGAACCTGATGACCTCTGAAAACAACCGAACCAAATGTGACCCAACGAAGTGACACCCCGCTTGTGTCAGTAGATTGGCGTAGACTGATGGGTACTGATGCATGAAACTGATGACTCGTCCGTTCTCCACCTGGTAGAGCTTGGTGGTTTCACTACTGGGCTGAAGCTTGATATTACTGATATATGGACTATGGACGCCGTAGAACTTCATCTGGAGGGCGGGGGTTCATTTCAAAAAACCAAGTGAAGACAATTGATACTATAGGAATATTGCACAAATTATTGGTAGTTTTGTACTGGAAATAAGGTCGTATATTATAACGATTCTATTACAACGAGATCCTTATTTGTTGTCCTTGTTGTATGAGTGTTGTCGAAACTTTTAAAATAAGGCCTTGCTGGAACTAAATCTCGTTGTGATGTCACCACTACTTGCCATCATTTTTTCTGACAAGCAGAGGGTTACCTAACGAGGGTAAAGTCTATCAATCATAGGATAGATCCCGATTCGTTGTTGGGAGTCACTGATTTGCCCCAGGTCGATACACCTTCACTAAGGTCACACACTCCTGGTAAATTTAGCGCAGATACTCCCGGCACTTTATCATCATTTGCTGTCAGGTTAAACCCGATGTGATAGTAGCTGCGAATTCTGTCGATTATCTCAATCTAGTAAATATGTCCACAATGCTTGAGAATGGAACAACAACAGCTGGATTTTTGTGAGTTTAGGATGCTCATAACTGTGTTTTGAAATATTGTCAAAATTGAACTGTCGCTCCCCTCGTAGAGACCATCCTATCTCTCTGAGGCGATCGACCCCGTTGACCCAAATGGGCGCGCGGCATTACGTTGTAGTTAGCTCTGCTTTGCTCTCATCGTGAAATTGTTTCTATCCTCATTTCGCTTTGCAGAGCGGAGCCGACAGCTGAGGCTGTTAGTGCTAATCGAGACTTAACCCATTCGAGTCAGCTGCCACTGATTTCCACAGATGCTATTTTGGATGCCAGCTGCCGATTACTAGATCATCCGGCACTTCTGACTCGGCTAGCTGCCTTGGGTTGGATCGAAGTATTGGCCAAAGTTCGCGCCAAAGATGTTCTCGGTCACGTCGTTCATTTTTTACCTCTGATGCTGAACCTACTGGCCGACCCTGCTGCTGAGGTGAGTGATAAGTTGTTCAGCAACAGTGAGTTTCCGACTATCCTTTTACTCCCCCACATCCGCTTATGGGTGGTACATGTGATGTTTCCCCTCGCTGAATTTCAGCTATGGTTACCAAGTAGCTGCACCGAACCTCTAAGGTGCACTCGCCCTAGCCATATCTCTTCGTTCCCAAACGAAATTTCTCGAGAACATGGGGGGGGGGCACTTCTCGTTTGTTCACCTACTTAAATAATTTATTAATTTACCTTACTTTTATCAATTTGTTTACTTGTATGTGTGCAAAATAGATCAAGAAATTATGTGCCTGGTGAACTGTCGGAATTGGCGGCTTGTTTGCAACGAGAATCGACTGAGCTTTTCAGGTGACCGCCTATTGGTAACGTTTAGTTTTCAGCAACTTCCAACAATATGCTTTGTTGAGAACCTCAGTTCACTGAGCTTGTTGTCTGGACCGGTTTCCCATCTTGCGTGATCGCATGTGAATATGACAGCGCAAATTTTGTTGCATTGGTTAATGAGCCGTTACTCTACGGTATGATTAACAACAAGAAATCTGCTTGCCTTCTTGATTTCCTAAACAATGGAACATTTTCCAACTGAAATCTTGTGTTGCAAATGAAGGCAGTCTATGTTATGCAAAAAACTAGAGTGGCATTGTACTGCTCTTTCATACTGGTTGAGCACTCTCTGCATACTTGCCTCTAACTACGCAAAAGCAACCGGAATACTGAGGTCAACTTAGTACACGCACTTACTGCTCATTATTACATAAGTAATCTGTTTTTACGACAGGTACTTTTCTTATTGCTTTCAACCTTGTCATTTTCCGTTGTAACTGATTTCTACCCAATCAAACGTCCGCTTGGTGAGGTATTAAGACACCCTAGTTCGGTGGGTTCAATTCTTTGTGATCAGGCCCAGTGTTCGAATAAAACTTCGCGTACGGTTTGGTATAAATATAGGACCATGGGAACCCTACCAGTACCGGAATCGGTTACTCGATAGTATTCCAAACATCTCAGGAGCGATGGAAAGTGTAAACTTCAACTCATTTTTTTCATAAGAGGAAATTTTCCTTGGTGCCGATTTGGATCCTCACATAGGTAACCAAACGAAGGTCTCAAGATAAAAACATTTCGATTTTAGATTCCCTACAAGCTTACCACAAGTTGCAATGCAGTTCCTACACTATTATGGCTTATCTGTGGCTGTCTTTGAGGAAGGGTTCTGCTGAATATTTCGCGTCGGGTGAATGTTAGTAGCTCGCTTTGTAAGAAAAATGGACTTCGTCTTACTGCTTGTTTTTACCATATTTGTTTCTAGTTCTCTAGTTGGCCTACATTACTGTCCCAGCATGGAACGATTCCTCTGAAGTAGGTGATTTTAGCGGAGCGTTAACATTCGAACGTAGGATATGAGATAACCTCCATGGGTATAGTAAAAACGTTCTACAAAAGACATTCGCGACCCGGTAATGTGATCATTTTACTACTATAGAAATTGGTTGCATCGTTTAACTGTAATTAATGTTTCATCCACAACTGTTGAACCAGGTTGCAGATGACTAGCAAAGCCAACTGGTAATATTCTGTTGATGAGGCATAGTTAACTGACCCGCGCGTATTCTGCCGAGGAACGGAAGCAAATGAGTGTTCTTGCTGGAGTTGTTCACTGAGCACTGTACAATCTTCCACAGTCTGAACTCTTTTCAGTGTTGGTGCACGTACCGCGGCCAATCGGGCATTTATTTTGGTTTTCGCACTCGAGTGATTTAAGCACGTAATCGTTTCGGAGATACTGTTTGGCCGGGTAACGATTTAAAACTTATGTTGTCCTTCCCTTTCAAATCTACAAATATACAAATTCGGCTTCTACCGGCTGATCTCGTGGTTTTTCTGAGTACCTCCTATGCGGTGTTTGAATGTGTGTTGGTCGTGATCTTGACTGTCACCGATGCCCTAAGGAAACATTCGTTATATTGTTTGAAAGAGAGTGTTCAACGGTTGGATAATGCTCCCTTTTTTCAGATGGTTCATTCAGCGATTTCTTTAATTGGAAATCTCTGCTCAAACCCCGACGCCATGGAACTCCTGGATGAACAAACTTTAGACGCGTTAGGCGTATCAGAAGAACTGTTGAGGATGCTCGTTCCTCCGTCTCATCAGACACCACAGTCAACTTGCAGACTATTCCGGGTCCCGAAAGTTCATTATGACCTGGCAGTATCATCGTCTACGGACGAGGGGAAGGTGACCGAGATGGACAGTTGCAATATCTTTTGCGTGAGATTTTTGCTCGAACTCGTCTGGTTTTTTGATAGGAACACGACGCTGCTGATTCAGCGTGGAGATATGATTATCACGTAAGGGAGAAGATTTTATTATATCTTAAACCCGTGTTCACTGTACGAGTATCCTTGTAGGTCGCGATTAGTGCAATTGATTTTCGCACTAACAATGTTTTTACAGTCTCATCTTGGTTACTGGCTCTCCTGAATGTATCCTAGCGGTACCCAAAATGTTTCAGTGGTCCCCACAGTCATATTTACCCTCACACTAATCTTGGTTCTGTAAGCGGAAATTCACTCTGCTGCTTCGACGGAAAAAACTACTCAATGTTGCTGAGAGCTCTGACACCCCACGATCGGTCTCGGCCTTTTAAGGTCTCATCAAGTAGGCACACTCTGGGTTTTCGGCGACCAAACATTCTGCTCGAATCTAGATTGTATGCAGTTCGCATTCATTTGCAAACTAATTTGGTTTTAAAGAGAGACTCATCTAAATCTCTCGTCAGTGGTATTCTTCAACAAGAGATTCAGTTGAGATGTAGTTGAGTTTCCTTTAAAGGCAGATTAGTCTGCAAGTTATTGTGTGTTATTGTGTTACCATTGGGGTACTCTGCCACGTTTCCCAGTGTTTAGTTCTCATCTTTAATGGCGACTAGTTGTGCATCTATCCGGAACTAGCCATACCCCATTACATCCACTAATGGGCTAATTTATTCCCACTGGAAGCTTAGAACCTTTGTTAAGTAGTCTGTAGCGATATCCATGCAGAACAAACCAGGCTTATGATTCGGTGGTTCGGGCGGCGCTTCTCCACGTCTTCGATGTCGGTGGCAACTTATGTCACGTCATTTTAGCGGCCCGCGTGGGTAGATAAAGTTATTCTTTAACAGTACGTTGCTCAAATGAAGTAACTTTTCGTCCAGAGGAACTCACTGAAGCCGATCACTGCAGATTCGCACGTACACGTCTACTTCTTCCTCGAAGGTTTCTCTTTCACGTCGGACAATTTGTATTTTTTTCGTACCAAGACATATTCATCCCATGCTTCAGTCGATCACCTTAACTGGGGTTACTGCACGCTTTCGTTTCATGTTTCGTTGTCAACTGGACTTATCGCAGCTGTTTGCCGATAATGTGACCGTCCGTAATATGAAGCGTAAATGTTGCGTTTGTCGGATCACCGATCCACCCTTCATTATTATTATCTTGTAGTTGTCTTCACCTGATATGATAATCAGTTTTGTGCCGTTAGAGCGACGTGGTGGTCGGGCTCAAGTGATGCAGCTATTCTACGGACCACATTAGATGTAACCAAGCATGTTAGCAAGGCCCGAAGGGGAGTAGGCGGGCAAAAATTCACTACCCGCTGTACCACGAGTAGTCATATAACTACTGTACTCTGCAAAAGCGCAAAGGCAGTCAGACGTTTCTTTTATAGAAGCATTTATCCTGTCTTTCCTTGTGTACGACTGGTTGGAACACATGGACCTCGAAAACCGCACTCGTCGACCGCCAACGTTCGGTCGTAACCACTACCACATACGGTTGGCTTACAACGTAATGAGGCTCTGCTGCGGCTCTAAACGCATCTACTGTGTGTAGTAGCATAAGAATTGAGAAATCAATCTCTGGCACCTTCTGAGTAGACCACTCCTGCGCGATCGAGTTGGCCAGGCTACCGAGTCCTCAGCTTCGGACTGGGTCGTCCACTGTCTTGTGGATCACACTTTTGAGCCGAAAATGTAACCAGGGCTCTTGACCGAAACCCTTCACCCGGAACTGCCTTGTAGGTCATACCTTTCAGCTGGAGGCCCAAAGTGAACAAACTCAATTAAATATCTTATTAGCTTGCACATCCGAGAAGTAGCATCCGGTATTTGTCGATATTCATCCCCCCAATTTTCCAACCTACAAGCAAAGCGTCTCCAGATACTTTGATCGTCAGGTATCTGACCTATATGCTTTATACAACCTACTGTCCAATAAAACGAACCAAAGTGGCCACTCCATTTATAAGATCCTTCCTAACTAGGGGCTTCTAACGCCAGTGTTCCATATCAGATTAGCCAGTAGGTAGTCTGAGATATGTAAGATCCAAGCCTACTGCTCCTCCTCAGGCACAGCTTACTTCTAGTCACTCTTAATGCAGGCAAATCTGATGGTTCGGTGTCCCTGAGGAACTCGCAAATGGACAAGAATTGCGTCAGTCAACATCTCCGGAGAGTTTGAGTTAGCTCAACTACCACTTGTGGTCAACCAATACAATGTCAGTGATGGATGCATGAACGATCCGGAAAAGTGTGAAAATGAACTGTGCCGACAGTATTCACTGCTGTCCAGCACGACCAAATGACCCCTGGATATCGTCAAGATCACTGATTCCGATTGATATAAAATCCATGCAAGAAAGCAACGAGCATGACGGCGTACGCAAATCCCCTTTACGGCAACTAATGAAGAGTTTAAGGAAAGATCGGTGGACAGCAAAAGCTCAGCTGATATAACAGCCCTTTTTCACTGAAAGTAGAGCCCTGTCCTGTATCACTTAATTCGCCTTGCCAGCCAGTGAATCGATCAGTGACAAACGTAGTTCAGTGATTGATTCGTAAAAACGTCGATTGGAATAAATTAGCCAAGCACTTTGAAGAACCTTTAAGTTAGCTTAATGCAGTGCAGACACGACTGGAATGTGGAACCCACTTGCACGTTAGAAGAAATGACGCGCGAACCATCGTTTTGACGCACCTGGTAGCTGTGGCATCCAAAGTGCTTTCTGATTTCATCTTCCACAGGTTGATGGGAAAGGCAGATCCATGAAACTCATCATTGGCTTTGGGCTGTAAGACATATTTACTCTCCGATTATTGATTATGGAACAATGATGGAAGTTGTCTTTTTTGGTAATCAGTCACGTTAGTGGTCCTTAAACGAAACTGATCCCCGATTAATTCCTGAATCTGTGCATCAACTTCTGTAGCTATGTGTCTGTGGTAAATTCTCGCCCGAATTTGCTGCATCCAGCGGTTTGCACTTTTTTAAATTTTATACTCGATAAAATCGTGGAAAACTCATTCCAAGCCTGTGACCCGTGTAGGCTCCCAGGATGAAGGCCTTAGCCAACAGATGTGGAGTATGCAAGTGATACAGCTATTGTCGAATCTGACAACGGGTTAAGTAACCTAAATAGCTGTGTTTCACCGTTTGGTATAGTCTTCACAACCCCTAGACTAGGTAGGGGTGAACTCTATGCTCATGCTTGTGATAAGCTGTTTGAAATGGTGGACAATTTATTTGCCTGGGTAGCGGATTCACTCTCGGTTATCCAGCCAAACACCATACTGCCATTCGGATAGGGAGATCCAGAGACACTTGCTGACTTTAAGCATCTGTGGCTTAGATGTTACATCAGCGTGTGTATCAAGGATCGAATTTACACTACTGAAGTGCTCTCCGCGTTGCTATTTCGGTCAGATCGTCAGCAGCTGAGGATATCAAAATATTCTCTGTGTTTAACGAATAATCTCTCCGGAGCCTGTTCTGCATCCGGTTTGGATATTCCATCATTATTGTTGAAATATAACGATTAATTTTCAAAAGTTACCGTAGTGTCAGCACATAGTTTGCGCTGACTGGGTCACGTGCCTTCTATGCAGATGGATCGACTCCCTCGAAGAGTCGTCAAACACACAACATTGATGTATCGGTAAACTCGGCTGCACTAGTTTTTGACGCCTAACTTGATAGGAACATCCAGAGGAGATGATATTGATGATAAACACTGGCCAACGTGTTTCAGTTGCACGCTTAACAGCCCTCTAGCTATTGACTTCAACATATAGCCTATTCTCGGTCTCTTAACCAACGAAAGGATCACTACTGTTTCTGGATTAGCCACTCAAGGATAAAGCCCGCTGCTTTTAATGTGTGGCTTTCCGCCCCTGCTTTCCGGGGTCGTTGTAGGCTACGTGACTGTAACTCAGTTCTGCTGAGGCGTAAATCTTACCAATCAGGGGTTTGAACCGTAATTTATAATTGCACTCACAAACCGAAAAAAGCAATTATTAGCTGTGACGGAGATTATATTTCATCTCATGTTATCCAGTCGAAGACTTTAAAAGAGTATGGTCTGTAATACACTACTTAAAATGTCATAAATGAGGGATGCAGCTGGGTTCCAGGCGTGTCTCTCGCAAGGCCAGATTTGTCTCCAGATGAGTGTATTCCGCCAAAATATGATCTTTTTTTGCATTACATTTCACATGCAGTCAAGACCGACTGTACAAAGTTTGCTTAGTCATGCCAGCGTTTTCGTTTAGCGTCAATCCCACGAACTATTGTAATTGTCTTCATATGTCGCTAGCGCAGCATTAGGTAGAAAGCCTGCTGCTCTTTGATCCGGTCATAGGTGCTTTTCTGTCGGGATGTGCGCATACCTGGTGTTGTCGCACGATGGCGGTAACCAATTCCACGTTTTTTAAACAGTAGCTGTCGGTTAAACTGTGCTTAATCGTCAGGATGCAAACACCTCATTGCTGCCGTCAATACCGCTTGCGACGTGGATTGATCAAGTGTAATGTTTTTGTCAGTTCAGCAGCAAGGTTGCCTGTCTTACATTTTTTTAATCGGATCACATTTCATTAAGAGCACCTTGATTGGCTCACTGGAGACAATTTTTGACATTTTTGGTGTTTCAACTCACTTGCATTGGACCTAACGGAAGGCCCACCCATGTTAGTCTATCCAAATCAGTGGAAACTTCACACGTCTCGTAAGTGAAAACCTCACTGCCAAGTGTCAGAATCTATTTATTGGTCGTCAACCCCTTCACCTGATAAAAACGTCGGGACTCTATTTCCCCTTGTTTGCACATGTTCAGGTATTAAGGTACTACAAAATGCCCTTCACGTTGCAACTGATAGTAGCGGTAAGCAGTATGATAGCGTGTTTGAAATTCGGACGTGAACTTGATGGAGATACAGTTGTTTTCCTTGGAAAAAAAGTTTTTCAAAAGAGGTTCTTACAGGTATTCTCCCTAGGGAGCGAGGTTACCGTGGCAAGTCAACGGCTTGGACAACTTCTAAATCGTTCGGAAACCTGTCTAACCAAAGTGTTCAGCGGCCTCAACTTTGAACTCGGATTTCTCTAGTTACTTACGTGACCTTTTGACCTCTTTTTTGCACTAAAGTCTTAGTCGTCTGTTATCCAACAGCTAGTAAAGTTTTTTCCAGCCATGGGTGTTGCCAACCGTGTCATGCTTATGTCGTTTGCCGAATTTACCTAACAATACCTTAATCGAGACTCAATTAAATGTACAATATCCGAGGACGGAGACATTGGGAAATGTAACAAAAAAACAAAACGAAAACAGCACGAAAATAAACGAGAAAATACTCTATCCATCACACCAAGAAACCCAGAAAGATTCGATTAAAAAGTGACTAACGATGTGTGTACTGGTATGCCTGAGACATTTAGTCGAGGCCTACTGCGAGAGAAACTTTTCCTTAATCTTCCGCAATCCTCCACGATACAGTGCGGTGGCTCACAATTATGTACATTTCCTGAGTTAGTTCCTCCCTCTTAGGTGAGGCTATGGACCGTCTGGTAATCTCATAATGCTATCCCTACGGTCAGAGTAATAGTGAGACCTGTTGCATCCAGTGCCTATGAAGTTTACCCTACTTTTTAACTGACATTTGAAATATGACCATTTCATTCCTGTGCACGTGATGGTATTGCTGGGATCGCCTGAGCTTAAAGGAGTTCCAGAGCTTCGTGGCACTCCAAAAGCGGCCTATTCAAAGGAGAAGTGCATGTGTGGTTATTGACTCTGAATGATGATCCATGTGCAGCTGGCTTTTGATAGTCCCCTCTTGCTTTTTGTTGCAATGTTTACAGTTTGTGGAGCGCTTGGTAGAGATAGAATTCGAAACATCACCAGTTCGTAGTTCAGTTTTAATGCAATAGCAACCCGGCGACAGATGTTTCATGAGTGTCAGCGGATCGATACGCACTTCATCTGAGACGCAGCACGGTGTTGTGTCACAGTACTGTCGTATGTGCTGAACCAACGATCTCTAATGTGATCGTCTTTCATCCGTGACAGCCTATCCGTCGGGTTGTATCTCTCCTGTGATCGCGTACGAATACACAGCACGGTGTCACCTGCGTTCATCACGTCCAGTAGTGTAAGACAAGGTTGTCCTCTCTCATCATTCCTCAACTTTGTTTTCGATCTGATGCCTGGAATCTCTTCTTGCCCATGAAACCTCCTGGATCGAAATGCTACTGGGGCGTTCTCTCACAGACACTGGGTATGCAAACGATATTCCGTCCCTTGGTTCAGGTCCCTCAAAGATGCAAACCGTTTTAAATAATCTGAATAATTCTGCCGCAATTTTTAGCTGCAAAGTGTAGATAACTGCTGTGAGACTGGGTGGTATCAAACCCAAACCTCATGATTGCAGACGAGCCAATCAACCTGGGCAGTGGTATAAGTTTCCATATAACTCCTGGAGACAAGACTATTTTTCGAATCAGAAAGGCCAGAGCAGGTTTTACTAACCTACGGTGGCGACGTGACGTCAGAGTACCCCGCGGCAGTGAGATCCAACTGCTTTATGGATCAGAAACATGGCGTCCACGCGCAGAAGACATTCGAAAGCTGTCAATATTTAACTGTCGGTGTCTCCGAAGCATTTTCCATGTCTTGCGGGAACATCGGATTAGCAAAGTTGAGGTACGCCAGATGGTTGTAGGAAAAATGAACAGTTCCATGATGCATAAGTTACTCAATGCTTCATACGTTGCGCTGGTTAGTACATGTACGTCGTTTGCCTCGTCTGGCTCGTATGGCTGCTTTCCCTCAACCCTCTGCCGAATGAAAGCGGCCGGGAGGTGTATAGTCTTCGTCCTGGTGACGAAATGGAAAAAAACTAACTAGTAAACTCAGTTGGGTTTAAAATTGCCGCATTCCTGGATGGGTATCCTGGATGGTATCCTCAACTCAACAATGGTTAATGTCACTGGCAGACGTGGCTCCATCACGCAGTCGGTAGCGCTCTTACTTTAAAACGTAGCATCCATGCGTACCTGTCCATTTTTTTTTGCTAACTAACTGATCATACCTTCTACTCAAATGCTTGACTTTGTCTCCCCTGTTCTCCCATGTTCAGGTAGCCGAAATTGTAGCAGGTGCTACTGGCGTATCCTCGGGTACATGGTTTATAGCTAATAAACTGAACTGATATATTAGGTTGTCTTACCAGTTCTCAGATATCCTATTCCGGTCTCTTCTTCATCTGTTACCCAGATTAATAGGCTAGACTGTCCTCTGTGTCTCTTCGTAGTCTTCTACGCTTTTTCTCAAAAAGATTTTAACCAAAAATGATTGCTTCACTAACGAAACTCTGCACGTCGACCCCGGCATCATGGCACATACTACGAAATAAATGGTACTGCAGAGATGCACGGCCCACAAAAGCCGAAGTGTCTGTAATCCAGTTTAATTAATCCATCTACAACTGACAACACCGGGCGCCCTCTGTTTCATTGTAAACACCAGCTCCCAGTACACCGTCCGAATGGCTTTATTTTGCACCGTTTTTATGGCAGCATTCGGGTGGCCTTATCATGTCAATCGCCTCACTCTTTCACAGCGACTTATGCCACGTGCTGGGCGCCGATGTCGTGTATCGCAACATTTCAGCGATTGTATCCTACACGAAGGAACTTCCCTCAGCTTTCGTGCTGGTTGATACCTTGAATCGCATTTTGCTCACTCAACCAGGGCTACATGATTTTCGCAATCAGTTACGGGCGATTCACACAGAAGTGAGTTCCTTCCTACCTAATTCTACTCCTACCCGAACTCATACACGTCCATACTTATATAATTATCCATTGTTTTTCTGCTTGCTTATCCCTGCTCCCTTTCAGGATGGCTGTCATCTTTTGGATCGACTATATCGTGCTTGGTGTCACAACCCAGTTGCGTTGCTGTCACTCTACATGCTCACTCAGAATTATCAACAGTGTAATCGGCTTATTAAGTCCTTGTATCCTTTTGAGTACTATTTGTAGTTTTACTCTGCTGTTGACACAATGAATGAATAGCAGTGTCATCAAGACTGCTATCTTCAGCTTCTGGTAAGGGTCTCTTTTAGAAACTCATGTTTGATTCCCAAACTATTCCCAGTAGGGCACATGCAAGGGCCTGATCCCTAGATGACCACCGGGATGAACTGGTGGCATTTTTCTCTCCATGAACATTTGTGGAGTGTGCACATTTAGGTCGATGAATTAACAATAAAAGCCGTTATTCATTGATTAGGATGTGTGATACCCAGAATGTTTCTATGTGTATCGTCCAATGACTAATGGCTGTCACCGCTTGCAGTTGAGTATCCTAGTGATTATGGTGAATTCTAGTGTGTTCTTGCCTATGCATGTTTCGTCAGTGACGATACCATCTGTTTTCCTGACTTTCATCATGCCTTGTCAAAGTGCAAAGGCCGGCTCTGTCTGTATTAAGTTGGAGCGACGAGTACAACAGCGCAATACAGAAATGTCGTTGCTGGATTCTTTCCGTCCTACCGTTCTGTGTAAGCAAAGCACCCGTAACCTTTATTCTGAGGCAAACTGTACGAGACTTCCGATGGTTGTCCGGTGACACGTTCCGACTGATACTGTGTTGTGCATAGGAGGGTAAATCGTGAATGTATTGATTCGTATAGACCAATAAGAGGTCAACATTTTTCATATGACTGCAATAGCAAAGTGTCACAGACGGTGGTTGGACAATGCTCAGAACAGGTGATGCACACGAACTTTCAGTTGCTCTTAATACGCGATCAACTATTGATACATATCCAAGCTCCTTATGGACGAGCTCTTTTACCATGAGTGGATGAGTGGATGACACTTCCACCACCCTGTAATTTAAACATTTGATCAGTTACTTTGAACAGTCCTTTGTAGTTTGGCTGCTTTGCTGGTTGATCGGAAAAGCTTATCCGCTGATGTAGACAAGGGCCACTTACATAAATAATGATCCATTTACTGAGCCCTCGTGGCGCGTATTGATTCTCTCACTCCATGGGGAAGTATGTGTCCCGACGCGTAAAGACACATACCGGAAGTCAAGTGCAGGATAACATGTGACACATTTGAATTATGGCTTAAAACTCCGCACCAGGAATTCTGAATGTCATTCAGATCATTATTGTGTTTCTAATCCTGTTATGTCGAGTATTACTGCAACGATTATGACATACCTGCAATGTACTGTTACCGAATAATGGGAACATGCGAAACTGAAAGACTGACTGGCTAACGGAAAGTCATCAATGGACGTTAATTGTGTCACTGAAACGACGATTCGTCGATTCTTGAGGATTGTGAATGTAATGCTTCAATGTTTTTTATTACTATAACCACACACGAAATCAACGGGTAGAGATTTCGGGATGAGATCTCATACTCCTGGTTTTATCTGCTTGAGCGTTTGTAAATCCGGAATACGATATTAAGAACCATGCTCTCAGTTACTCAACAAATAGTTCTGGTGAGAAGTAAATGCCGGTCATACACTACGTCTGCTAGTTCACTAGAGGAGCTTGAAGTGGCCACACTTGCAGCTACTCGGTCAAATGGTAAACTGGCACGATAACCCTTTTCTCACCACATACCTCTCTAAATTTACGTTTACGCTATCGCCTTGCTGAAATCTTGTCTTTTGCTGTGCAAATTGAATCCAGCTCGTCTTTATACGGGCGACTTGATGTCCCTGTCTTTACAAAACTTGAAATATTCCACTAGGAAATGAGAATTATTCTCCATAAAGAAACTGCGTTAGTAACCCAATTCTCATAACTTGTTAAGGGAATTTTCTAATGATTCCAGAGATCTTATCCCCTCGCTAATCTGGTTGCATCAGTGCATCGTGGTTGATTCCCGAGAAAGCTCGTAAGACAAATCCTCAGTGGTGAAATTTGACTTTTTGCACTGTATTCATTGGTCCCATTAGTGAGTGTTAAACCATGCAACAGTACTACGTCGAAACAAAACAAACAACAAATGTAGTTTGAACGGAGAGAAGTCTCCTTCTATCTTATCCAAGAACCGTGTTAATTCAGCTGATTCTGCAAACATAGTCTTTCGGCTTTCCAGTGAGTGCACTACGAAGGTCATCTATCACTGTGCAGTTCTTAACAATGACTTTTTTTCTTAACCGGCTTATTGCTTCCACTGAGGTCAGCGGAGAGATCAATATGACTGTTGAGACCCTGGTTGAAATGGATCAACTGATTCAAATGATTGAATCCCCTATTTTTGCAAGTAAGTAAAAGTTTTTGTTCATGTTGAAGCTGTGTGAGGTTTTTAGGTAGTCTCATCGAAACCTCTTGTTTTCGAATAGACCAGGATAAATCACAGTTTGGACTGCGTCCGCTATCGCAACCATGAACGTTTGCACTGAGTCTTCTCTCTTTCTAAGAGACCTCCGTCGAGACAACAAATGGGCAATTTTGACAGCTTTTCGCTTTTCGTATTGCGACTACATCATTCGCTCTGTGCAGTAGGCCTCCGCCCAAAAACGCTTTGAAGGGAATCATTTCGCTATCCAATTTTTTTTCGCGACGCGAGCCTTCAGTGGGAGCAAAACCCTCAAATAAGCTAGCAGGAAACATTGTGAGTCTACAGAATCTCCCCTAAGACGGCGTACAAGTGGTTACAAGTTCTTGCTGTCACCTTGACTTCATTTCACTCACTGTGTAAGACGCCATGAACTAAGTTTTAGGCGTCTGAAAAAGTCCCCCCAAGGGCTAGCCACTTTATGTTGAACGCAAACCGTTCAACCATACAGGAAGAGCGCCTTACCGTACTGCAAGTGGCCCTATCTACCAAAACAAAACGGATAAGAAATTCCAAGGCATCTAAGCCTTCGAACAGTGTTGAACTAAATGCATCCGAACCTCGTGTTGGAGTAAAACGCCATCAGTTGCGTTGGCCTAGAAGCTCTGCGTATCTCACTCAACAAAACCCAGTATTCAACAACAGGCAGTCGGTCAGGCCAAGGGCCACTCACTCAACATACCTTTTAGAGTTCCCAGCCATTTGTAGATCCCGGTCATGACGGCGCCAAGACCCGAGGGACCTAAAACTCTTTCATGTCAAGTAGAATTGAGACTGTCGATCCGAATGGCGATGTGAATGGCGCCGCTCACCCTTTAAGTAGCGTGAAGGTATGGTCAACACATCTACGTGACGAAGATCCTACCTGGTGCCCCTGGGATTGTGTCTTACTTGGTGAGGTTGGGTGCGCCGATTGTTGTGTGGCGAAATTTCCTGAATAGATGCACAATGACTAGGTTCAGTTGTCGAGAGCGCATCGTTGTTCCTAGGTAAGTTTAACCAGCCCAATGAAAGCATAACTCAAAGACTTGCTGGCCTCTGTGAGTAACTCTGGTGGGAATTCATTTGTTCCTGAAGCTTAACCGCGTTTCAAGACATCTTGGTGCTTCGGAAACTGAGGGGCTATTGGGTAACAGAAACCGTCCCGAGTTGGCCGGACCAAAGTAAAGTCAAGCGCAGAGGTAGATGAACAAGTAAACTGTTTTTGAAACCGTTTCCCCAATAACCAAGACGGTGGTTACCTGTATCACATGATGTGTAGGAGATATTGGAATACTGACATCGCACTTGGTGGCCTTTCATGTTTTTTATAAACTTGTATAGAACCTGAGCGTGGCTAAAAACAGGATTTTCAGCAGCCTGATGGGTAGCGTTCCTTCAAGGAGGAATTTTCTTACCTTACACTCCAACCTTCATTCCCACCTGACATCCGAATGATCCGCCGTAGTCAAAACCAATAAGGGTGCTCAACATCGTGTTTTTTATGCAGGAAAGTTCCGTTTTCTTTCTGTATCAATACGCTTATGCAGCCACTGACAAAGACACTACTTGCCTTTCTTTGTCAAACCGGAGCATCCCGTAGGGTCTCACAATTCAACCTCACTTATATGGGGCTTGTTGTCTGTTCTGCTATGGAGGATATTCCATTATCTATGAGGGTTATAGACTTCGGATGCGTTTTTATCCATCGGGATGTTCGATGCGACACTGTTTTTGCCTGCTACCGCGTTAAGCTTCCTTTTAACAAGTGGCTTCATTGGAATTAAAAACATCTGATTGGCAGTCCCTTGGACCCTTTTGTGAGATTCGAGACGAGCTCCTCGGTTTATTATTTCTAAGAATAGCACAGTACGTCATTAGGTGTTACTCGCTCCCACAAATCAAACTACTCATGAGTTTTGCGACATCAAGACGCACAGCTTTCTTTTGTGGATGAAATCCGTGTCGGTTAGATACCCATCACGAAGAGACTGGAACTTACCGTGGTGTGGCGGTTTGTGTACCTCGGAGACCCATTGAGCTATACTGGGGGGTGTCCGCTCGACACTCACGGAGTCTCTCATACCAGGTTGGTCAATGGTTAGAGGTCTGACGAACACAGTCTC